GCCTCATAAGACCTCTGATAATAAACTGTGTACTATTACTTTTAGCTCTGTGTGTTTAAATTTTTGCAGGAATGAATGAAAAATATCTCCAACCTGACTTTCAATCAGCTTCTTCTCCACTCTTACAGTTCGCTGCTGACTGACATGGGCCCCGAAACTTCCAACTCTTAATCACCCCCTTCTTTGCCCTATCTCAGCAGGAAGTAGTTAAGACAGACACGTCACTCATTACCATTATTAAGAAGCTTTTAATGTTTGGGCTGGATCCAAATTAAGCAGCCCTGTTTGGACTAAGCGGAAGCAGGTCAGGGCCCTGCATGTGCTTCCCTGCACGTCCCAAAGGTCAGCAGCAGATGGCGCCAGATAAGATAACCAGTAAAACCAGATGCTCCAGGTTCAAAGAAAGCCGCAAGGAGTCGACAAGCAATCCTCGGAGCAGCCAAACCCTATCTATAAATGCCGGGCATTCCTTACCATCCCTTCAAAAATTTGCGCCCGACTGCTGGGTATGACTTCCCTGACCTGTTGACCTAGGTCACAGAAACTTGTCCAGGAGGCCCCCGCCCCCACTAATAAAGCTATTTCTGTTTCTGCTCTCCCTTGTCCTGTCTGTCCTTCTCCTTGTACCTCAGTTTCACCTTTACACACGGGAGCCTAGTGGTGTGGAGGTTATGGGTTGGATTGTGGTCCAAAAGCTCGGCAGTTCAAACCACCAACAGCTCTATAGGAGAAAGATGGGACTTTCTATTCCCATAAAGAGTTATAGTCTCAGAAACCCACAGGGGCAGTATGGGTAGGCATCGACTTTATTGCAGAGTCTACTTAAACATGATTTTTTTAAATGAAATATTTTTTGGTTACCAATTATAATTCTTCTATGGTTATTATTTGCCTCCCTGACTAAATGCAAATTTCGTGGCTATTGGGACTGCACTGTTTTTCTCAACAGTGTACCCTAACCAAAACTCTTACTGCCTTTGAGTCAATTTTGACTCACAGTGACTGGGACTTTATAAGTGTTTTCTGGGAGTCGAAAGCTTCATTTTTCTCTGGTGGAATGGCTGGGGGTTTTGACTTGCTGACCTTGCAGTTAGCAGCCCAGTGTGCAACCCACTTCGCCACCGGGCTCTTCAGTGCACCCCAGGATCTGATGTGACAGTAAGATTCTTACTGTTAGAGTAAACCAGCTTCAAACAACTGCACGGTTCATAGGCACAACTGTATGGCTATAATATATAAAGATCATAGTAAAGTCATGGAAGATAAGGAAGGTAGGAGAGAAGAGAAAATAAAGGAGTCAGACACATTTTATAGTAGCATACTCCCTCTGGGACGGCCATGATCACAGCAGCCAGGTCTGAGCAGAGAGAGAGGGAAGAGGAGAGTATATTTCTAACCAAGGCTTATATATATTTAGGGGGTATGCAAGCCCCCTGATTACAGGTAACCACATACGTAATAGGAAGGGGTTGTACCATAGGCATACAAGCAATGGGAAGGGGATGATTTAGGGGTGTATATGCAATAGGAAGGGGAGGGGCTAGAGGTACACATGTGACAAGATGGATGGATCCTAGATTCAAAATGGCAGTCTAACCTTGATCCTCCTTGAGCTGGCTTGACTCTGGGCTCTCCTTCAGGGAAACAATCACTGTCTTAATCAGTAGGGTGTGAGCCCCACCTATGGTGGGACCAACAAGTGTCTGATTGCTCTAGATAGCTGATGTCCTCAAGGAGAATACCGCCAAGAAACTGACTACACTGTGAGCTAGCAAGCAGGTGACAACATGGGGAAATCCCTTTCTGTATCCCACATCTGACTTAGAGTGACTCTACATAGCTTTTGACAGTTTCTCTTTTTGTAAATTATTACAGTATCAGACATCTTTCTCTTTCGGAGCAAATGGTAGGTTTGAACCACTCATCTATTGGTTAACAGTCCAACACTTAACCTACAGCACCATCAGGGTTCCTTGGTGTTACAGTAGAACTGCAATATATATTTAATAAAGAAAATACATGGAGTTGGAAAAGAAACGGAAGGAGCCCGGGCGGTGGAAGGAAAAAGTAAATAAAGATCTCTTCAAATCAGTGTAAATATCTGCTATTACGACTACGGATCTGAGAAGAGTCGTACTGAAAATGTTCAGCTGTCAATCAGAAGGTCTATGGGTATACTTCACCAGGCAAACTGTGTGAGAAAGAGGAGTCAGTCTGCTTCTGTAAAGATTTACAGCCTTGGAAACTCCTTGGGGCACCCTCTGAGTTAGAATAGACTCGGGCAGACAGACTGGTTGTTTAAGGTATTGGGCCATTTAAAACTGTTTTAGTAAATGGAGGAACTGTTTGCTCAGGAACTGCATCAGGTGACAGGCAACAGAAGACCTAAAACAAACAAAAAACCGTATCATTGAGAGCGAGGGGGTCAGAGCAGAGACCCCAAATGCATCTGCAGACAATAGGCCATCCCCTCACAGAAGGGTCACCGGGAAGGAATGGGTCAACCAGGGTGCAGTAAAACACATAATATTCCTCTGGTTTTTTGAGGCTTCCCCACGCCCCCACTACCATGACCCCAGTCCTGCCTTTCGGTTCTCGCTAGACTGGAGCATGTACACTGGTACAGATAAGAGCTCCCGACACACAGAATTCAGGTCAGATAAACCCCTCAGGAACAGAAACGGGAGTAGTCATACTATGAGGGTAGGGAGAAGGGGGTGGAAGGGAGGAGTAGAAGGGGGAACCAATTGCAATGATTTATGCATAATAACCCCATCCCCCATGGGGATGAACAACAGAAATGTGTGAAGGGAGACAGCAGTTGGTGTAAGACATGAAAACAGTAATAATTTATAATTTATCAAGGGGTCACGAATGTGGGAAGGGGGATAGAGGGGAAAAAGAGGAGCTGATACCATGGGCTCAAGTAGAAAGTAAATGTTTAGAAAAGGATGATGGCAACATATGTACAAATATGCTTGAAACAATTGTTGAATAGAATGTTGTAAGAGCTGTAAATACCTCCAATAAAATGATTTAAAATAAATAAGACAAGTAAAAAAATAAATAAATAAAACAAAGAACTGTGTATATCTTCACTAGGTAATCTACTTAAGAGAAAAAAAACCAGGGCTTTGGCAGCAAGCAGTACATAAGAAAGCTGGTGTACCTTAGTTTGCAATTTAGATCTCTCTCCCTAGCTAAAAAGTCTTTGACTGCCGAACATTGATTCTAACTCAAGATGGAATTTCACATGAAACAGTGGAGGCAGATCTATGCACCCAAATGTTGATTGAGCATAAACTTCTTTCTTCTTGCCATGATTCCTCATTGGTCATCTCTTTTTTGTGATTCCCTGTCTACCTAAATTAAGATTGTCTTTTTAATGGGTTGAATTTTAGGGACACTGACACCTATTGGGAGCATAGGTTCATCTGGTCCTCAGTGCTTCTAAAAGGTTTTCTGTGTGATTCCAACTTCCAAGGTGTTTTATTTTCTTTGATCATTGTAGTAACATGATAGCGGGATTTCTGCGTTCTTATCTTCCTTGCCTCGGGAGTATTTGACAATCTGCTCAATAACTCGCTGCAGGTACACATGCCAGCCAGCACAGCCTCATCACCAGTCTACACCATTTCCCAAAGCTCTTCTCTGCTAAAGGAGCCCTGGTGGCTTAGTGGTTATGCATCACCAGTTGAAAACACCAGCCTCTCGGAGGGCAGGGGTGGTGTCAGGGCGACTGGACTTTCTACTCATAGTTACAGTGTGCGAAACTCTCACAGGGGCAGTTCTACCCTGCCCTGTAGGATCACTATGAGTTGGCTTAGAGTTGATGGCAGATAGCTTTTTGTTTGTATGTTTTTTTGCGAGGTCAATCTGGAAGTCAGATAGCCTCTCAGAGCCCGTGTTTGCAGACTTGAAGTGATTTGAAAGCCCTTGGGAAAATTCCAGTCTTGCAGCACCTTCCCAATTCAGATGCCAGAAATTCTGATTATAGAAATGATTCATTCCACCGGACGAGTCATTCTTTCGGGTTAAAGTACTTTCCCAGAGTTGTGCATTTCCTATTTAAGTTAAAGGGGCAGACGCATGAAGTCACCTTTCTGATCACGCTTTCTCCAGAAGATTATCTGGGGATCAGGTAAGGGCCAGAGGAAATCCAAAAGCACTTGTGACCTTGGGGTGGGGGGCAGCTCTGAGATTCAGACCCAGGGCAAATGGGAGAGGACGAATTCCTTTACTCCTTACTGGGTTTTGGGCCTCGGCTGGTCTTTTTTGGTTATCGGGGTCTTGAGCTTCCTGACTCTTACTGCTTGCCCCTCTGGCCACCATCCTCAAAGATCCCTCTGCACTCCATCCGTGGCAGCACTGCATTCCTCGGGGCCGCCCAGCTCTTCAGAAGGGCTCTACCAGGAGCCTGCTTCGCGCCTCTCTCACCTGGCGGCCCCGCATCTCCGCGCCTTCCACGGCAGAGCTCCTGCACCGTGAGCTAAAACGCCCCTGCCCTCTCTTAATCGTCACCCTCGAGCATCCCATCCTCGGCTGGAGGCTCTGGCCACCTCTGCAGACAAATGAAGAACCAGACTTAGGAACCTGAGAAACCAGCCACTGAACCGTGCCACCTGCTTTCCTGCCCGTGAAAAGCATTCTTATTCCGGCGCGGATGCTCTGCTCTCCTCCGTCCCCTCGCGACTGCCACGCGCTCCAGTCACCGGCCCTCTCGCGGGGCCGCGAGTCCCGGTCAAGTCGCACCGCCCCCGCCGCCCGCCAGCGCCTGGGCCTCTCCACGGCCCTCGCCCGCGGATCCCGTCGCCCCGCCTCCGGCCCGCCCCGTCCCCGTCTCCATTGGTCCGGGCCAGCGCGAGACTGGCGCTCATTGGCGGACTGGGAAATCACTCAGGCCGCTTATTCCGCCGCCCGCAAGCTTGCGGAGAAACTTCCTTATTATTGTGACGCCGAAAGCGGAGAAGCCCCTGGTCGGTCCGCTGGGGCGGTCACAGCCGGGATCCCGGGCGTCGGTTCGGCGGCGCGGCCGCGGCCGGGGTGCGTAGAGCGGGGAACGAGGTTCCAGGGGGAAGGCGATGGCGTTGCTGCAGCCGCGCGGCTGCCGCGTTCTGCGGGGCACGGCTGTCAGTGCGCGGCTCCCGGAGGGGAGCGGCGGCGAGCTTTGGCGACCCCTTGGGTCAGGTCGCGTGGACTGTGGGTGGGGTGGCGCTCAGGGCGCGGCTCCGCACGCTGCGCCAGGGGCGCGGGCGGCAGGACTGCGCCGGGACTGGGCGCGCCGGGGCGCCCCTCGGGCCTCGCGTTCGCCCGCCTGCCTGGCGTTCCGGGGGCAGCTCGCTCCGTTTCCAAAAGGAGCCCGGGTGCGGGGAGAGGCCGGAAGCAATCCGAAAATGTGGGCGCGTCCCACGTCCCGACTAGCCTGCCTGCAGACCTGAAGGGATTGCGACGGAAAGAGTCCAGAGGGGACCCTCCCCTTCCTCCTCGCCGGCTCCCATGTAAATTTCGGGGTCCGCGAGGAACCGCGAAGTGACACCTTCGTTTCCCTACGAAATGGCCACGCGCGTTGTCGGGCGCCAGGACCAAGGCCTCGGCGCGACCGGGAAGCTTCGCGGCGACCGCGATGACAGCTCCGGTGGAGCTGCGGCGCCCGGCACCACCCACCTGGCGGAGGCCGAGCCCTGCTCTCCGATCCGCCTTCGGGGCGGGGTCCGGGTGGTGGTGGTGGGCGAGGCTGTGTGTGTGTGTGTGTGTGTGTGTGTGTGTGTGTGTGTGTGTCCGCACGCGCGCCTGCACGCATGTAAGTGCGTGGACCGGCGCGGACGTCTTGGACATCCTGGGGCCAGGTGGGACTTGGAGTCATTTGTAAATGTGTAGAGTGGGCAAAGGAGGACCACTAGTCAGATGAGCGTGTGTAACCAGAAAAACGCACCAGCCAGGGAGTGCTGTAGAGACAGCGCCTAAGGCAACTGTGCGTGGATGCAGTTGCACTCCAGGGACTGTGGATTTGAACTTGGCTTTTTGGTGAATCCTTGTTTCTGTCTGCTGTCTTACTCTTTCACCCTGCCTGTTAAAATCAGCCCTAGTAGGAGGCGTCATAAATGAATAGCTAGGCCCTCAACGATTCTGCTTGCAGTGGGTACACATAGAATGCGGTTCAAGCCCTCACTTCGTGTTTGTATGTCTGGCCTGCCCCTTCCCATAAAGGATATTTCTATACAACCTTCTGTTTGATGATTTGACGACTGAATCGATTTATACCTCTAGACTGGGGAGGGAAAAGGTTAAATAAAATGAGGATTAACAGCTTTTCAAAAGCACAGTGACTCTGGAGAGAGCGAGAAAGAAGGTGTCATGTTTTAGTAGGCGGATTTCTGTGAAGCTTTTTCCTTTTGTCCTTTCTTTCTTGGGGGCGGGGGTGGTGGTATTCTAGATCAGAAGGAGGGAGTGATATATTTAACTCTCGGTTTAAAAGCAAGAGAGACGCATCCCGCATTCCACATCACTGTCTGGCCTTTGAGGGAAAAAAAAGCATGGGTGACTACTATCTAATTCTACTTTTTCAGTAAGTAGTTGATTTATTATTTTTTTACACAGAGAAGCAGGGTTTCCAAAATGCTCCCAGTGATTGAAGCCATTGACTGTAGCTTTTCCTTCTAAGGAGCAAATTTAACTTTCTTCAGATTTGCATAACCAAAATTTTTTGAGGTGTATCTAACGAGAATAACCTTACTGGAGACAAAGTTTTGCTTTAGTTTTGGACACAAGAGCCATCTTCTCCAAATTGAAGGGATTTTCACACATGATAGTAAAAATGGAGGTGTGATGACTATCTCATTAAATTATTCTGGGCTTTTTCTTGGTGGTGTAGTGGCTGAAGCACTGGCCTACTAAGTCAGCAGTCTGAAAGTGCCCGCAGCTCCTCAGAAGAAAGAGGGGCTTCCTACTAGTGTAACAATTCAGTCAGGGTCACTCACAAGGGCAATTCTACTGTGCCTTACAACGTTGCTAGGAGTCAGAATGATTCGATGGCAGTGAGTTTGGTTTTTGCAGATTTTCTATAGTTTTAGGAGTTGGAATAGGAGCCCTGGTGTCCTAATGCTTCTGTGCTGCTAACTGCAAAGTCAGCAGATCGAAACCAGCAGCCCCTCTGCTTTGGGGGAGAAAGATGAAGTTTTCTGTTTCTGTAAAGCTTCTGCTTCTGCTTCTCAGAAACCCACAGGGGCATTCTACCCTGTCCTATAGGGTCACTGTGAGCTCCATCTCCTCAATGGCAGGCAGTTTGGTGAGTTTATTGGTTTGTCAAGAGTCCTGATGGTGCTGTGTGGTAAGCATAGGTTCAAACCCACCTATTCGGAAGAAGAAAGCGGAGTCTCTCCTCCTATACAGATGGAACAGTGCTCCTCTCAAAATTGGCTAGGTGGCAGTGGGTTTGGATACATGCCTATGATCCACTTTTAGAGGCGACATCTGTGTAAGTGGCTGGAGATTATTTTATTGGTATTTAACTCCACTCTTGAGATACAGTGTTTGAGAGACTACTAAACTTTGAATAACGTGAAAGTATTCCTAGGTTCAGAAATGGGCTTTTGTCCATTTATTTTCAATCCCATTAAAGCACTTTGAAGATTTGTGTGGTAACATTAATTCTTATTTCTGTAACTTTCAGGTCTATCAGGTGAGGTGGAAGGGTCTGACATCTATTCCCGATGCCAAGTGTGTGATCTTTGGTGAGTTACTTAATTTCTCTGAACCTGGTTCCTCATTTTGTAAATGGAGATAGTATCTCACAGAATTTATAAGAGGATTAAACATGTTAATATATGTGAAGTACTCAGACTCGTTTATCGGTCTAGAGAGGGACCTTAACAAGTTTTAATCCCTTGCTCTATGTTGATGTAGTGTGGAGAACAAGATGAACCCAGGAGGTAGGAGACCTGGTTTCTGGTCTCTGCTTCAAGGACTTCTTACTTCCCAGAGGACCGTTGAGGTCTCAGCGTCCATTAAAATGAGGTTAAGACTGTAAGCCTCTCGCCCAGAGGTGTTGGGAAAAAAATTACAAAAACAGAATTTACTCCCAACCTAGAAAACCTCTCTACAAATACAAAAAGAGAAGGGTCTTGGAAGAAGCACTACTAGAGGGCTCCTTAGAAGCAAGAATGGCAAGGCTTTGGACATGCTGTCAGGAGAGACCAGACCCTGCGGAAGGACATCATGCTTGGTTAATTGGAGAGGCAATGAAAAAGAGGAAGGCCCTCAACAAGGTGGATTTACACAGTGTCTGCAACAATGGGCTCAGGCATGGGAACAATTGTGAGGATGGTTCGGGACTGTGCAGTTTTTCTTTGTGTTGTGCATAGGTCACTATGGGTGGTAACCAACCCGACAGCACCGAACATTAACCAAAAAAGCATTAACCAGTGTGTGATTCATCACAGGAAGTCCACTCATAGGATTGCAAAGACAGAAAGGAAGCCGTCTTTCCTGTAGCTGAGTGGATTGTCCTTGTTAGGTGCCACCCAGTCTGTTCTGACTCACAGTGACCACGGTATACACAAGAACAAAACACCACCCCGTCCTGCACCATCCTCACAATGGTTCTTACGTTTGAGCCCAGTGTTGCAGCCACGGTGTCAGTCCACCTTGTGGAGGACCTACCTCTTTTTGGTTGACCCTCTGCTGGACCAAGCATGACATCCTTCTCCAGGGACTGGGCTCTCCTACAACCCACTTCGCTCAGGCTTTCAAGATAACATTTTTAGTTGCGACCAAGTTGCGGCATTAGTTGCAATCCCCTAAAATCCCCACTTTTCCTACTTCTTTGCTTTGTCCGTTCCTGTATCTTCCTGCCTTCTGCACCAATCAAAGCCAAAGCCCTGGCAGTCGAGTCTGTGTTGAATCACGGCGACCCCATGTGTTAGAGAGTAGAACTGCTACACAGGGTTTGCTTTGCTGGAACCAGTACGAAAGCACAGGGCTGGGTTTGCTGTTGGGTGGGTTTGGACTGCCAGGGTGCAGGCTAGAGGACAGACAGTAAGATAGCTCCTAGCCACATGATAGATAGCCCCTAGTGTTAAATATCAAAAATACCACGGACTGCCAAAAGAACTGACAAACCTGTCTTGGAAGAAGTATGGCCAGACTGCTCTTTGGAGGCAAGGATGACGGGGCTTCATCCCATGTACTTTGGACAGGTTATGGGGGGAGACCAGGCCCCGGAGAAGGATATCACGCTTGGTAAAGTAGTGGGTCAGTGAAAAAGAGGAAGACCCTGGATAAGCTCGATTGACATAGCAGCTGCATTGATGGGGTCAAACATAGGAATTGCTGTGAAGCTGGTACAGGAGCAGGCCATGTTTCATTCCCTTGTACACAGTGTCGCTGTGAGTCAGAACCAACTCGACAGCACCTAGCAACAGTAGTCATGTGAAGTAGTCATGTGAAGACTCACATGAATTAAAAGAACGTACAATTAAAATTTCCGTTTCTCGTGTCAAGTGCCACATTTCAAATCTTCATTATCCCTGCAACTCATGGCTTCTCAACTCCTTTGAAAGACAGTTGTATCTCTTTTAACTGAGATTAAAAGTCGTGCCTGAGTACTACTTAGGTTTCAGTGGCATTTAAGCAGAGGTCCAAGGCTCAGCTCTTAGATGGCTATGTATGTAGTCTGATTGTAAATGGAACAGTTTTGGAATTGTAGCTTGCTGCTAAGCTTTGGTTTACTAGAAGGACTGGTTAGACAAGATTAACCCAATTCATCTTGTTCTTCCTAGATGTTAAAAGGAAATATAGGCAACAACCTTTCTCTAGCCATCCCACGTCCCCTTTGTGAAGGTTATGACAGATGATGACGAGCTGCTTTTGTCTTGTTGTGCAGGTTTGGTAGAGCGTCCCTAACACTGACAGTAAAAGGAAGGGAGATTAGAGGCCCTGCCTCTTTGCAGAGCTTTCCTGCCTGCTGGGGACTCACTGAAGAGCAATTGGGGTGGGCCTAACAGTGACTTAAAACATTCTGACTCAGGGCCTCCCTAAAGAGATTTATTTTTTAATCATTCTATTGGGGGCTCATACAGCTCTTATCGCAATCCATACATCCATCCATTGTGTCAAGCACATTGGTACATTTGTTGCCATCATCATTTTCAAAACGTTTTCTTTCTACTTGAATCCTTGGTATCAGCTCCTCGTTTCCCCCCCTTCCCTCCCCTTTCCTCCCTCCCTCCTAAACCCTTCATAATTTATAAGTTATTATTATTATTTCATGTCTTACACTGTCCGATATCTCCCTTCACCCACTTTTCTATTGTTCATCCCCCAGGGAGGGGGGTATATGTAGATCCTTGTGATCGGTTCCCCCTTACTCCTCCACCTTCCCCTTTCCCTCCTGGTATCACTACTCTCATTTTTGGTCCTGAGGGGTTTACTGTCCTGCATTCCCTGTGTCTCCAGCTCTGATCTGTACCAGTGTACATGCTCTGTAAGGTAGAATTGGGATCATGATGGTGGTGGGGGAGGAAGCATTGAAGAACTGGAGGAAAGTTGTATGTTTCATCGATGCTATACCGCACCCTGACTGGCTCGTCTCCTCCCTGTGACCCTTCTGTAAGGGAATGTCCAGTTGCCTACAGATGGGCCTTGGGTCCCCACTCAACACTCCCCCTCATTCACAATGATAGGATTTTTTGTTCTTTGAAACCTGATATCTGATCCTATTGACACCATGATCACACAGGCTAGTGTCTTTCTTCCATGTGGGCTTTGTTGCTTCTGAGCTAGATGGCTGCTTGTTTACCTTCAAGCCTTTAAGACCTCAGACGCTATATCTTTCAATAGCCGGGCAACATCAGCTTTCTTCGCCACATTTGCTTATGAACCCGCTTTGTCTTCAGCGACCGTGTCGGGAAGGTGAACATCATGGAATGCCAGGTTAATAGAACAAAGTGTTCCTGCATTGAGGGAATGCTTGAGTAGATTTCTTTAAGGGAGTAGAAAACCTCATCTTTCTCTCATGGAACATCTGGTGGGTGTGAATCTGTAACCTTGTGGTGAGCAGCCTAACACCTAACCCACAGTGCCCCCAGAGCTCCTTAACAGTGCCTGTAAACCAATAAACACCAAACCCCTTGCCGTCAAGTTGATTCCAATGTATGGAATCAACTCCTGTGTTAGCACAACCTTGGCTGCAATCTTTCCAGAAATGGATTGCCATGCTCTTTTTATGTGATACTTCTGGGTGGGCTGAAAGCACCAGTGTTTGGGCTAGTTGCTGGATGCAAACCTAACATTGACTGTAGTGTTTACTGGGAACTGATTACCATATGCCAGCTGGGCTATGATGGATGATCCAGAATCTTTTATCAAGAGTTAGGAGGGGGCAAGGACTGGGGAAAGTGCCAGGTACAACAGGGAGGAGACACCCATCCTTTTGTTTTGTGGTGGGAAGTAAACCAGACCCACTGCCATCGAGTCATAATTCCCAAGATTGTAACTCTTTATGGGACAGCTAAGGTGGCTGACAAAGGTGCTGAGCCAGAGGGAGCTGCACTGCAGTCCTGTGACCTTCTACAGGGGCTCTCTTAACTATGCTTCGAAGGGGAATCAGTCTGCTCTCCCAGGAGTAAAGGGGTGGACCGTGAGTGAGGGGAAACGAGTGAGAGCCTGGGGGATCAAAGTGCCTAATGATGCCAAATATTATTGAACTTGTTGAAGCCAGAACTGCCAGATTTAGGGGTATGACCAGAATGTTTTTTCTTCCTTCCTTTCTTCCTCCTTCCAAGAGTGTACTTTTAAATGAAAGCTGTATTAATGACTGTCCTTTCTTCAATTCAGGATAAAGACAGGGATTTTTACTCCCGTAAAGAGTTAAAGTCTCAAAAACTCAAAGGGGCAGTTCTACCCTGCCCTATAGGGTTGCTATGAGTTGCCATTGTCTTGATGGCAGTGAATTTGGTTTGGGTTTTTTTTTCTTTCTTACTGCACCAACTCTCTCCCCTAAAAACTGTTGCCTCCCGCTGTAGTTTTAGCAGACAGTCAGAATGACCTAGACTGGTTCTCAAGCAGGCACTGATATTCCATTCTTAGAGATGTGTCTTATCTGTGCTTGCTATTTAATTACCTGCCCTTTAGAAAGCAGGTTTTAACTGACTACTTGAAAATACCATTAGTGTGACTTGAGTGGGGAGACTTTTTGAATTTTAAAAGCAGCCCTTCTTCTCTTTTTCCTGAATGGTTTCTACTTGCTAATTGGGGATGAGGCTATGCCTTAGCCTGCCTACTCAGGATTGCCCAATTATATCATCTTTTTGAATTCCAGAAAGAGTTTGGCCAGAGACTCTAGAGTTCAGCTGACTCGCAAGGGCTGACTCATGCTAAAGGTATTTACAAGGAGCTGATATATCCAGAATGCCAGATTAATAATTAGAGGTTCAGAAGCCAAGAAAGCTTGACTGCTTTGGTTAGCTGGTCACCATGTTCTTTCCCTGTGGTAGGATTTACCTTGGAACCCAAGTTATCCAAGGTTGCTTGTTAAGCATAAAAAACTCTTAGCCTTGTGGGTTAGATTTTGGGTAGCTGTTAAAACAGCCCAGGGTCCACATCTGACCTCCTTTGGCTAGACAAAGGAGGAGAATCTATCTCCATAGCAGCCCAAGGACAACTGCCACGAGGCAGAAGTCAGAGAGGCCTCCACTCTCCATCCTCTTCTTTCTTCCTCTTCAAACCTCAAGGC